CCTCTCGAAGCAGAAAGAATTCGACGTCGTTTCTGCAGCCAAAATTCCGGGAGTGTGCATGCAGTCGATTCGATTTGGCGGATTGATTGTTAGGTACACGGCCGGATTAAGGACTCGGGGGCGGCAAAGAACTGGGAAATTCATCGCGGCTCGATAAGTCGATTGGATTCGTTAGGCCCCCCACTTTGGCCCAATTCCGGCGGTTTAACTTTTAAACGGGGTTTAATCGATACTTCGGCCCGCGTTGCACCCCTTGGTGCCGCTGTCTTTTCTAATCGACGCTCGATTTTCGAGCATCCGTTCAATCTAAATATTCAAAACCGTTCGGTTCGCACCGAGATTGAATTATTGATTAGCTGCGGAAATTGTGAATGGAGAATTCAATTTTGCCAATATCTGTTTCAACCTGGTCATTACAATTTAATAAATATTTATAGGAATTATTTTTGTAGAGATTTTATCGATAGACATTACATTGCTCGGAATGTGTGTGAGATTTTTCATTTTAACGTTAGGGTTTAATTATAATTTTATCATCTTCTTCTCGATCTTGATTTTTCAATATCTGTTTCAAGCTGGTCATTACGATTTAATAAATATTTATAGGAATTATTTTTGTAGAGATTTCATCGATAGACATTACATTGCTCGGAATGTGTGTGATATTTTTCATTTTAACGTTATGGTTTAATTATAATTTGATATTGAAAGTATGAAGTGAGGTATCTGTACATAGAAATCATCTTCTTTTCGATCTTGATTTTTCTGGGTCAAACACCTTGTACTTCCAGCCATAAATACGCGATTACATGCATCGTATTAAATCACAAAGAAAAGCGAGCGCGACGCTGTAAATCCTCTCCGTTTCATGCTTCGTTTAATTCGTCGATGCACTCGATATTTAACGATTGACGGGAATTAAAAAGTACAGCACGGAAGAGAATCGAATTAAAATTCAATCAGAAAAATATCGCCTCCCGTTACATCGAATACCGTTCGCCCATTAACTCGGAAAACATTTCGCGTTGGCCGTTAAATTGACATATATTGGCCTGTATATATATATACGCGCCTATATACGCATACAAGGTGGGGCGTAATTCGGGCTAAAATTGAAAATTGGGCGATCCTTCATGCCTGAAATAAATGAAATATGCGCAGCGAAGTTTTCCGTACTAAAGTTGCATTTTCCATTTAATCATCTTGCATTTTCAATAGAACTTCAATGCGAACAATTTCCAACGATCTCTTTAACCTATCAAAACCATATCACTGAAATCACTCATCAACGATTCAAAAATTGCATATCTTATAATTTCAACACTCTCTTACGTCACAGTTCCAAAACGAGTCACAAGCGAATTTTCCACAGAATGCTACTCGCCGAACAAAATCCTCCATTGGTACGATAAACCCTCTCAAGCCCCCGATAAAAGCATTCCCCCGTTCTCCGGTATCAATTAATAATCTCCGCTCTCCTCCCGGAATTCCAACGGTAACTCTGCGCGATCGGTGGCCCGCCACCCCGTATACTCGCAGGAAAGGAGGCAGCGGGAGCTCTCTCGCCGGCGGAGAAGGAGGGCTCGCTCTCGGCGCGGCTCGACATTAAATTAAACTGCAATCTGAAATCGTCGTCGCCATTGTCGCGGCGGCGGATCGGGGAAATATCGCGGGCGAAACGAGCGTGCCCGGGCTAAATAAATCTGTCCGGCGGCGGGCAGACTCGGTGGGAGCCCGCGCAAAATAAAGGGGTTCGAACGCGGTGTGTCCCCGTTCCCGCAGAACCGTCGCGACGATGCCACGAACGAGACGAATGAATTATGCCAGACGACGGACTATCATCTCGCAGCACGAGCTCTCACAGATTAGAAAACTCCCCGGTGCCCTGCCTCTTATCCGGCGACGTATCAGATCCTGGAATCGCTCTGACGACGGGGCGAGCCCGCGGTTTCCTCGCCGATCCCGCTCCGTATCGGGCCGAGATATCCCTTTCGTAATTCCGCCCGCCGGAGATTGTTTTATGGCGAGCCCGGAGATGGCTCCTTACAGTTGTACAAGTTAAATTGGGTTGGTGTTCCTTCGGAAATTGTGGACGTGCCCTTAATTCTTGGGGGATGCTCTAACTTCAGGGCTCCTTTCTTTCGAGTGACCATTTTCAGGTGGTCGTCGAGGCGTCGTTATTATTTATCGATGTCCTTGGAATTCAGGATCGATTGAGATACGGAAGTTTAACCCTTTGCGGATGGTGAGATGAAATGTTCTGATTTCGAAGACTAAGTCGTGGACAAATGATCTAATTAGTCGAACAGCAAGAGATCAGCAGTTCTCTCTTTTTCTATCAATTAAGCAATTGGTATATAATTTAGCTTCGTATGTTGAAGGTTCTGTGTTTCGAAGAATCTTCGCAAAGGGCTAATATCGCGTCTACCGATAGGTTAATAAATCGAGAAACTAATTAGATTGTAGTTGGGGATAGAGTATCTCTCAATACAGAATTGTGAATCAATCGATTACCAAATAATTCTATCAAGACAATTACCATAATCCTCCAAATCAGAGTTATCTGCTAAAAACTACCCTCCGAAACTCCATCAAAAAACCACCCACAGTACTATTCACAAATCCGCGTTAGAAGCTCGTAGCAACGAACCGTATTCGACCCAGGACATCCTAAAAAGAGGACATCCTCATCAATCTCGAATCGCATTCCTTATCATCCGGTTCCCGGGAACGAGCGCCGCGCGATCCTCCGTTGGAACTGGGAAAATCATCGATCCCGTTCCGTCCCGGCGAAAACACCTCGCATATTACTATCCGAACCGCAATATACGAGTCCCGAGATCCTTATCCCGTAGACCACGCGAGAGGAGCCGGTCGGGGGTGGGAATCCCGACGCGGGTTAAGGACCCGGTTGCTCCTCGAGGATCCGTGAAAGGCGGTTCTCGGCGCTCAAAGGGCGCGGAACGAATCGGCCGGAGGGCGAACGGCGTCGGTAATAGACGTGGGATGGGTTAAACGGGGGGTGGCGGCGCACGGGTGATACTCGAGCGGTCGCGGCGCATAGGAGGGGTTGTAATATTTACAACACTCTATGCAGACCCCGGAATTGCCTATAAAGAAATCGCGGAGTCGCTTTGTTCGCGTCATAACGTAGTAACGTAAGGGGCCAGCAGCTATACACTCGGGAACGATGCCAAATTAATAAATATATTCCAGTCTATCCCAAGCCTCACATC